GTAATTCATTTCTTGCAATGAAGTATACTTGATCAGCTATAAGAAGATGCATGGACTTTCGGATCATGTGTGTTTAATTCTGTAGAGTTACAAAACAATCATTATTATTGTGTTGCGGGTATCATAGCATACACTCACACAGACTAACGTCACTTCATTGCCCATCCGCGGTTGCGTCTCTGGCTCATTTCTTTAGTTTATAGTCTTTGCACCCATATAATGAAATATGTGATTAGCACCGAAATACATCAGATCACACTGCCACTATTTGCATATTAGTTAATATTTTACCATGACCATCCATGCTAGGCTAATTGCCATATTCAGTTAGACAGTGAAAAATTTTCAACCAAAATCCTGATTACCATGGCTCTTCGGATGGTGTGACGGATGACGTAACGTTTGTCAGTGAAACTCCCTTCGGTTACACTCGCATAAAACTGTAACTTTCTTCCGATGGACAGTGAATCTGGTGAACTTTGACCTCGCTACAATGCCCCAGTGCAGTTCCATTGGTGTCGTGGTCAAAGTGTTTGATGGTTGATGAACGCGATTACAACTATTAGTATTTTGTCGTGTTGGCTGAGTCCGTATGATCGGTGCCGCTTTCGATTCCCGAAACGATTGTGCAGTTTTCTCTGATTCGCAACATTAATCACAACCATCCACCTCAACATCCGAAAGTGATTAGACGCGTTTTGTTTTGGGTAGAAGGATTGTGATGTTGAACCAAGGGGTGGGTGGAATCGAAAACAGATCGACGACGGATCAATAAATCAATACACGAACAATGGGTGATCGCCGTTCTGTATAATCTCATCTACTGACCAATCACGCTCAGGCAGACAAGGCCACGGAATATAGATACTGTGGAATTCATTTAGACCGAACAGGCGTATTGGGTCACGAAGAGCGGCAGACGTCTTGACACAGGCGGGCAGATTCTCGTCATGGCAGACATGGCAACCGCCAGCTTGGAGCGGGATGAGCTTGCTAACGGTACGTGAGTTAATCTTATGCTATGTAATTTAGTAATTCGTACACAAGAGGTCATATTGTTTTCTTCCTAAGACCGCGTTTGCGATATTTTCAAATGTCTGTCTAAAGCAAGCAGTACTCTTTGGTCTTGTCGAAACTAGTCTTCTATGTACAATCAGATCGATTGCCCCTATTTTAAGGTCAGATTCGAGTATGCGGAAAATAACACAAACTCCATCACAATTCCTGTTGACTCTTGTTTGTAATCATTTAAAATATTCTTTCAAATATATAGATGTGAACTAAATTTCGCTTTCATGTTATTCGCTTTTTCATGAGTTTGTTTATCTTGGTTATGTCATACTAAAAATTGGGTATTGAATTCGCTACTCGGTTACTTCGGGAAGAGTCACTAGACCCGAGGTCAGTTATCAACCTATGTAACTTAAAATCAATGTTCTCTAATTTGCGTCAGTTCAGTGAATAAATGAATCGCTGCTTACTTTAAAGCTGACATAATCACCTCCGTTAGTTTCAGCTGTTCAACGCTTAGAGGAGGAAAGTGACACCTAAAAGAAGAGAATACACATGAGCTGAAGTGAGCTCATATAGAACCATGTATCTGTAATTAAGCTATGAAGCCGCTAAGAGATGACGGCAAACTTATTTACTTTCATTTTGTTTTTAGACCCCATATTGCCTATTGCCAATATGTATCTGAAAATACATCCCGACCGTAACCATCTGTTCGAGAATAGCAGTGACTATGTTCGCTATCTCCTCTCTGTCGTCACGGGATCGATTGCCAACAAAAATAACAATGTACAGCTGTCACAAAATTAAACTCAAACATGTATAGCGAGACTAGAGTTTAGTGCTTTTGATTGTGTGACTGACTGGAAGAACTGAGGATTGTGTGTGAAGATGAGGTCTGAAGTATGGTCAATTCAAATCAATGTCAATTATCCCACGCCACTAATCGAGACGATGAAATTCACCGATTATATATACATATATATATATATATATATATA